TTTGGTTACAGTTCCATTTATAGCACTGAATCAAAGGTGGGCAATGTACTCCCAGGTTAATAAAAGGGATATTATCAACAGTGGAACTGTGAAAACAGAAGCTCTGTTGCATTTATAGCATGATCAGGACCAATTTTGTTAAGCTGTATATAAGAAAGAGTCACTGCTCTGATCCCCTATTAAGAATGTCAGTGTCACTTTTTATAATCTAGATCTACCTGCTTTAGTTTAATTAAATAAAACACTTTAACTCCTTAAAATCTTTAACAATAGTGACTTTTTGGTTGTTGTTTTTATACCTAAGGTTTCTGCAGTTTCTGAAAAACTGATCTGATGCATTTTATCATGGTATTTTTAGGGCAACAGCATATATGCATTAGTACTTATGTACAATGGTTTGAAATATCTCTGAATTTACTTTTCCAATAAAGCTATTAGAATAGTGAAAATAATGTAATGCGAATCAGTCAATTAAAAAATTAAATTTCTATTTAAAGCTTATGTTCCAATATAAGATATAATGGCACAAGTTCTTCTAATAGGATTGTTTTCTACAGCTGTATAAAGCCCTGACAAGATTTGAGCATTGTTTTGAATGTGAATCATCTCTGTCTTGGTGTCTCCAATTTACTTCTACTCAGGAATGTGCAAATGATTTTATACAGCACGATGCTAGTACCGCTCTGTACTATAGTATTTTGTTTTGTAAATAAAAACAACAACAAATCCCTAGTCAGAAATAAACTGACAAAATTTACATTCTTCTCTCTTAAAAAAGTAAATAAAATAACATTATTTAAAATGTGAATTAGCTATAAGACATACAATACAATTACATAGATACATATCAATACAGCACATTCAATTTGCCAAAAATTAATGATTACAAAGCCAATATGGATGCTGCCATATATATATATATATATATATGTATGTACAATGATTATAGCATTCATAATTGCACTATACCTACAACCAGTTTTAAATTACAAGGTGTTTTAAGAGGGAGCAAAAAATAGCAACTCTTCTTATTATCGTTCTTCTGGATTTGAGAGGGTTAAGGATGAAAAACATCTCATTAGTATTTATTGTTAACTTTGGTAATCAACTAATAAGCCATTCTTTTTTCCACCTCCCATCCACTGCTATGTGGCAGCTGTTTTTGTTTTAAGTGCACTCTAGTGCCAGTTGGCATTATAGATAATCCAATCACATCTGAACCCTATAGAGTTTTCTCGCTAGCAATCGTGCACCTGGTCAAAAAACACCTTTCAACCTAAGCTGCAGAATAAAGGCTCATCAATGTATGCTGCACTTTTGTTTTTAAAAAATTGCACATTTAAATTTCAATAATTATTTTCTCACTGCTTCATTTACATTTATAAATCTCTTCTAAAGAACATTGAGAAAGGCTGTTTTGCATGAAAGCCTATCAAATGCCTGTGAATCAATCAACAATCAACGTTATCCAGAAAAGTTCCTGAATGTGATCTCTCAGCAATGACTTCTTGTAATACAACTGAAGGTGCCTTGACATTATTACAGAAAACAAACTCATGTCATAACTGACAAAATGACAGATCTAAACTGTCTTTGAATTACTAGACTACATGCAGGTGCATGGTACACCTCATAGCATATTCACTTACATGTTGGTTTTGGCATTAGAAAATGGTACATTTTCTAAAAAAAGGGAACATGAGCTGAAATTGTGTGTGTTAATCATTTGGCAGTTGATTCTATCAGGTCAGTCCCCAGCCCATCCATTTGGCATTTCAATCAGTATCTTATGTTTCAAGAGCATTGGTTTTATAAAAAGCCAGATTTGGCAACGTGAATTTTGTACAATAAAAATAATTTTTCTACTGTGGAAAAACAACACTTAGAAAAGCTCTAACTTAAGAAAAAACACCCACACAACCGAGAAAAACACTGTTTCAGGCTGTAGTCACTGGAGAAAATGTAGTGTCTATGACTTTTCTATTTGGCATTTGTGAATAAAAGAAGAGAGAAAAAATGGCACATGGCAATTAAAAAGAGGTTCTAACATATTCCATGTACATCCCAGATTCTCTCTTAATTACTTCATTACTGTCTTCTGTGCACCTTTCTTAACTGTAAAACTGTGGTAAAATTTATTATTCTTAGACAGCTGTAATTCTGTTTTGCAATCCCAATATTCTAGTGTCAGAAGTGAAGACAGAATGAAGACACCCATGTAAAGAATTTAAAAATCACAGTATCAATACTTTTTGATCCTTCAAAGAAAGTACATACTGTAAAATTAAAATTACTGATGACTTAAACTGTAATGATAGTGTTTTCCTAACCAAATCACTCAACAGAAAATATTTCACCCAGGAATGCAACTGGGGGAAAAGAAAGGCGATTGTACCTTTTAAAAGATAAGGGAAGTAGGAAAGGAAGGGGAGAGAAAGGTTTAGGGAAAGAAGAAACCAGCTCAATTTTGCTTCAATAGCAAAAAACTGCTATCGTTTGTAAATGTACGACTGAGAATTTGAAACACATTGAGTCACAAGGTTTTGCCTAAAAAATGAGGAAATGTGCTGTGAATGTACTTCAGCATCTTTTGTTTTTCCTCCATACACTTTAAATAAAATCATAATATTAACTACAAACTCTGTGTATATTCACAGAGTCCAGGCCGGCAATAAATTAGTATTATGCAAATTGTTTTCACAGATTATAATACAGTCCCTCTTGTGTATCTTCAATCACGGAAAGTTGATTTTGGAGGAGCCCCCAGGTACAGTTAGACCAGGTTGTACTCCTTCAGGTTTAACTGTAGGATTGTGTCCTTGACAGCAGCAAAGACGAAGCGGATGTTCTCTGTGTCTGTAGCACATGTGAAGTGAGAGTAGATAATTTTATCACTGTCTGGATTCAGGTCTACGAACATCTTCAGGATGAACTCTCGTGCTGCCTGTGCATCCCGCTGTGGTCCTGTAAGAAGAGAAATTCAGTTTTCTTAAAGTCAATTTCATATTTCTACTTCTTTAAAAGAAAGTAAGAAAGGCTTAATCTGTGATCCTCATATAAGAGAAGATGGGGAAACTTTTACTAATCAATAGTATCATATACTGGCTGCATTCCTTGTGGTAGGAACTATTAAGAATAAAGATGGAAGGAAATTTCAGAAGTTCACAAAGTCAGCTGCTCTTTCACTGCTGACTATCTTATTTCTTCATCAAGATAAATGACCTGTTTTAAAAGAGGTGATTTATAAATGCACAGAATAAAAAATTAAAAAACCTAGTTATATAATGAAATCTTTAAAAAGTTAGTAGAAATGGTCAATGTTCAGTCTAAACCTACTATATTTATATTATACCTCAGTTATTTTAGCACTGCAAAATTTACTAGTTTTATATGAATATTAGTAGGAAGCATAGTGAAATTATATCCTGAACTGGGTCAGACACTGACATTAATAAAACTTAATTTGCTTTACGTGATAATAAAATACATAGCTGCTCTCCAGCTGAAACTGTTGCCTGCAAAAGGCTCATGTTCTAAGCAATCTGCTGTTATCTAAATAATGTATGTTAATGATCTTATCAGATCTGAATTAAAATTGTAACTCTCAGAACGACAGAGTCAATCTAACCAAACTACATTTTCAGCTTAAAAGATCACAGAAGGTAAAGTAATTACATCCAGCCTGGAACAGTGAGGATTCATTCATGTTCACAGCCAAAAGAGCAGTGGAGAAGCAAGAACATAAGCCACATGCTGTTAAATGTTAAATTTAGATGGCAAAGTGGTTCTAAGTAAGAGACTTAGAAAAGAACTATCATATGAGTTAGTAGCTTTCTTGTCCACTGCTCTCCCTAATCAGCAGTTTTCCATGTCCACGAAGATCTATGTAAGTGTTACATCAATATTTTTCTCTTCTTTTCCTCCTAACTACAGCCTCGTTTTGTGCCTGCCCTCTCTCCCTCTCCCAGCCTGTCAGTCAGTTGTCCAGTACTAGCATGCAAAGCATGTCTTCATGTGATATACTGACCTAGGAGCGTGGCTCAGCCTCCCTTTCAAAGCTCTTACTAATGCACTGTGTATCAGAACTCCTTAATTTAATCTGTCCAATTTGCCACCTTGGCCAGTTCTCATCCCTAGGCTACTTTCTCCCTTCTGAAGGTGAGAAAAGCAATCCAGCTGAAAAATACCTATTTCTGGTACCTTCCTCAGATCTCCCACTTCCCACATCCCCAGTGTACTGGGACAGAAGAGGGGACCACATGGCGACCTCTGCAAGCCACAGACCCCACCCTGCCACCAGAAGTATCAAATCAAACTGTAACTTTGTCTCTGGAGTTAAGTCCTGCAAGATCTGCAGAATCAAAAAAAAAAAGATTCTCAAAGACTTGTAGGTCTTCACTCCTGCATCCGTGATAGCCCATAATGTAGTTTCTACAAACTGTTTCAATTGTCCTCCCCCCGCCCCACCTTTTTTTTTTGTTTGTTTGTTTTTTCCTGGACAAGCATTTTACACACATTTTGCCAGCATTTGAGAGGAAGTAAAATAGCAGACAGTAGGATCTACTCACCCTTGGGATGTTGTCTAGGGAACTTGTTACACAAAGTAAATTCAAAAGAACTACTGTATTTCTATTCAACTGCCAGTTCTGTACATTACTATGAAGCTAAATTTACACTGGCTTAATAAATAATATGATCTGATCCTGCACGATTTTTACTGATCTTTTCCTCTTTAACAGAAAATAAAAAGAACATTTTTCCCATTATTACTTTCCATATTTGAACATGAGAGTTTTAATCTTTTTCTCAGCTTCCCAATCAGCTATTCCTTCCTAGTGGGACAAAATCAATTTTCTTTTTAAAAAATAGGAACATTTAGTTCTTTAGACCTCTTATTATATGAGTTTGATTATTCTCTGTTACCAAGGCCACATCCACTCAGTTACCTCAAAATGCTTAGCTTTTCCCCTCATGAGAACTTCCTGTAAGTATAGACTTAGTAGAAACACTTACATAACCCAGATTTTTTTTATGGACAAACATATTAACTTCACGTAATTAATGTAAAATTAAAACACACTTTAAAAAGGTACAATAAAAGGGTGCAAGGGGTGGTTGCTTGTCTCTCTGAGTGTTAGAGAGAGCTTATGACACTTCCCCTTAGGTATTCAATCTTACATGAAAGCAAACATCAAAACATCAAAAATAGAGATATGTATATGTACAACTGAGGAATGTGTTTCTATTTAACTGAGGTATTTAAATTTAAACCCTCACCCTACCTTACAAAAAATGACAGAATGTGGTTCACTACTAGTATGACAATATTCATCTAAAAGTCAACAATTTCCCAGTAAAGGTTCTGCCATCCGACCCACAAGTCATTACAGTAAAAAAAAAAAAAAAAAGTCTAAAAAATTCCACAAAAGTTCAACTCCATTTTACAATTTTTTAGTATTTTTTAAAGGAATATACTGAAGGATCTATCTGCCTAGCATGTGGACAAGGCTAGCACAATTTGCCAGTACTACAGTGTAAAAAGAGCATGAGCTCTGATTATACTTACCATCATACTCTGGAAAATAATCAACTAGATGGGAGTACATAATTTTCTCCTCTAGTAGATCTTTTTTATTTAAGAACAGAATAACTGAAGAGTTCTGGAACCACGGATATGTGATAATTGTCCTAAAGAGTGCTTTGCTTTCTTCCATTCGATTCTAGAATAAAAAAGAGAGCAGAATTTTGGTGGTCATGAGATTTAACTTTTTTTAATAAATTCATGCATTTTCACTGCATTTGGCAAAAGGATCCATTTCCTGTTTTGCGCTTTCCTACCAACATATAAGATCCAATTAATTAAATTAAAAGCAATAAGCTAGCAGTAAATTAAATATTCAAGCATTTTTCTTTTGCAAATTCATCTAGATAAGCCTAAGTCTTCTTTAAAACACTAGCCACGAACACGGAAGTTGTAACAGGTATACTTGTGAAGTTTGAATATGCACAGCTACAATCATCCAACACACTGGTGGTTATTGAAATGCAAGTGATTAATGGCAGAGACATATACAACAAGACAACCAATTCACTGAACATTATTTATTTTACATGCCTTTCCCAAATTTTGAATACAGAGTTCAGCAATTCCTACATATCTGCATTTCAAGTAAATTTAAAACCTAAGAATATTTTGTCAACATCAAAGGATTATTACATAAAATTAAAAAAAAAAAAAGCAAATTGTTAATTTTGTTTCTAGCATTGCTGCCAGATGAAGAATTGTTTGCACCTGGTGGACTAATACAATGCTTATTGTTCAGAACCCATTAGCCTATAGAACAATGCAATGCTTATTCTGTGGGAGGAAAAACTGGAAAGCAACCAGCCAGCCCAGTTACACTAACTTTTACCAGTGAACCAGGCAGTCAAGTATGACCTTGGGGTTGGCAAACCACCAGGTACCACAGAGACCCTCAGGACAAAAGAACGCATGTGCAGAGGGGAGGGACTACATGTCAAGGATTTTGGGGAAATGTTAGCATATGTATATTTATTCTGGGACAATCAATGAATATATGTACAGTATGTAAACAGAAGATGTCCTGTACTTGGCATGCACAATATTTGGAGGAGCTACTCCCTTGTGCATTTGGCTGAATAAAGAATGACTGCTTCTTAATGCTATACTGGGGCTACTGAGTTTTATTTTTACTGATTTTTGGTAACAACGTCATTGGATAAACTTTAACTTCTTAGCTGCTCCTGAAACCACTTTGCATTATAGCTGAAATACCAGCAGAGCCTACAGTTATTTCTATTTCTAACACTCTTTTGCCATTGTACAATAATGTTACAATTTGATTAGCTCTGGACTGTTAGGCTGACTTGACCTGGTTAATACAGAGCCAGAGCAAATATGGTTTGAAACACAGTTTAAAACTTACTCCTTTTATTATTGTTTAAAGCTGCAGCCCCCTGAAAAAGACTGTTTCACCACCACATGGGGCTCCATAGAACAAGAACATAAATTCTGCAGATTCTGCTGTTGCTGAGCCATACAACAATCAGTCAGATTTTACCGTAAGTGTATATTTACTTCCATTAATTTGCATTTTAGAGGTAAACATGAATGGGAACTTGAAAAACCCGATACAAACATAAAACAAAAACAAAAAAAGGAAAACAAAAAACAAATAGTAAACTAATTCAATTTTGTAGTAAAAGTTGATGATTTGGTCTGTTAAACCTTATTGCATGTTGCTGTGGTGAATGAAAAGAAATAGCTGAATTTATATATTGATAATGCAGAGTAATAAAACATTTGCTTTCATGCAGTCAGATCTCATGACTCATACTGATCTCAACAGTGTCAGGATTTCACTCTGAAAGGAAAGAAACACTTAACACAGCTGAGCATAAAACCTAACTCCTTGGACTAATTGTTAATAAGATGGTATTTTCTATGGTATTTTCTTCTCAACATTCTATATAGACTTCTTCTCTTAACAAGCCCTTAAGAAAACACAATGGGAACTCCCTAGTAGAGTTATAGCTGTTATATGGTCCAACTCAAAAAGTTCAGCTCCATGGCACATGTGCAACTCCAGAAATACCTGTTGGCAAGTATTAGTATCTTCTTCACCAGACTAAACAAGGTCAGGTCTCCCACACTGTCTGCACAGGACATTGACTCTGGGCCCTTCACGCTTTTCCCAACAGATCAGGTGGACATTAAGTTATATTTATAAAGACTTTGCAAATTATTTCAAAGGGAAATCAAAGCAAAATGTGTTAAGGACAGTGAACTGACATTTTGATATGTTGTCATTTAGATGTGTAGTCTGCAGATGTTTCATAGGAATTGAAAGAGGCCTAGAGATTTTCAAGTAAATTTTATCTGCCTGTATAAAGAAACACAGGTCTCTAGTTTGCCATAACAGGTTAAAATGCTATAATGGTTTCATTATTTTATTTTACTATGATTGATTGTTTAAGAAAAAAAGTGATTAATTTTTGACTAATCAATCTCTGCCTAACTTTCTATCTTTCATCTCTCTGTTTATCCAATTACTAAGGGCAATTCAACTTTTACAGATGTCACAGCAAATAAAATCAATTTTTATGCTACAGTTAATTCCTCCAACAACACTGCTTATTATCCTCTAAAATTTGTCTCAAACTGATTTGTTTCTAATGGTAGCTCACTCCTTTTTGCATGTTCACTCTTTTGCTTCATTAAATATACATGCCATAATATTTTTAATCAGTTTGATTAATCACAAGATGATATGGTTGATCGACTGTTCTGAAAACAATTTTTCTTTAACAGGATGCACTATTTTTTGTGCAAAAAATAGTTTCATGTTACAGTATTGCTGCAGATAGAAACTTGAACAAGTAACGTAGAGAAATGTGCAGACAGGTCTGGCTCAAGGCTTTCTCAGCAGCTGATGGCCAAAGTCAGCAGTGAAGCCAACCTACAACAGCAACCCCTGATCAACAGCAGCAACAGCTCATCATAGCCTGCCTGGCTTGGCACATGGAAAATGAGCTGCAGGATTACTGTCTTCACCGTCCCTAAAGATCTGCTGGACAATGTCCCTGCTCAGCTTTTGTCTGTAGTCAATCCCAAATTAAATAAAAACATATCGATATCATCAGCTGTTCCTTTATGTTTCTTGTTAGGATATAGTTAGATGCCAGTGTAAGATTCTCCATCATTCATACAATCTGACAGAGTTGCCACTCCAATGTAAAAACATTATTATGAAACAAAGTAAGAAACACAGCAGACATACTCCAATAATGAATTTGTTAACCATAAACAGGTTACATAATCTTGGACAAAGTTATCCTAGTATTTGAATAAATATCAAGAAAAAACACTGTATTTACTAATGAATCACATGACTGTCAAATTTTATGACTAGAAACATATTTTTATGAAACAAAAATAACATGGCATTTCTTTCTATCATGTATATAATTTTATAAAAAAGATTTTATGCTGTAAAGTTTTTGTATAACATTAAACATTAACATAAATACAAGCAGAAGTATAAGCCATGTTTTCCCACATTTTTATCCAAATAGAAACTTACTCTTCCTTAAGTTTTAATCCATTAAAAAGGAGTATACTTCCTTCCCATTTTATTTTTACATGTACACTTTCAATTTTCCTATTAAAATGATGGAACTCTAGTTTGGATGTAAACACTGAAATTCTCTTTGCTATCTGTTGCTCTGGAAAAATGCAATTACTCCTGCAATTAGAAATAACAAAATTGAGATAATTTATAAGCACTCAACTGTCAGATCCTGAAGAATACCTGCAAGAGTGCTAAAAACAGCATTTAAGAGCTGTATCAGCAGATACCAAGCTAAGGGAAAGCAGCATTTCCCAGCTAACAAACAGTGCTTTGACAGAAAACACTTGGTAAAATATTAATCTAAAACAACAGAGAAGCACTAGGGGAGTTTCACCCATTATTGTCTTAATGATTATCTAGAGTGGCATCTAGTGGGCATACTGTAACTCACACACCGAACGAAAAATGTACTAGTTACTTTTATCTTTAAAAAATTGCTGGCAATTTAAGCAGTGTCTGTTTAAAAAAATCAGAATTTCACGGATTCTGAGGAACTACATTTTGTTGGAATGCAGTAAAAGAAAAGGTGGCAAGGAGGTAAACACGCATTTTTCGGTGAACAACTTGCTCTGCGTATGTAGCTTGTGTATGCTGGCCAAAATGCTTATTTGAGTCAGAGGCCATTCAGAGATGATAACTGTAGAAAATGAGACACTGATGCAAGAGAGCTTCAGAAAAAGCAGAGGTTAATATTTCAGAAGGTTAGTGTCACTGTAGTGGATTCTATTATTTTGGTTGACAAAACCTTTTATTATGAATGTTTTTTATGTACAACTCTATATTAACTCGGAATGTCTCCATTATCCAACTAAGACTTACAGCAATTATTTTCATAGAAGCAATGTCAAGCTGTACAGAAAGATCTACAGAGTATTTCTTGGCTAAAAATTTAATGAAGCTGCTACGTAAAAGCTGGGAAATAGTACAGGAAATGAGGGAGCAGGAGGTAAGTGCTGAGTCTTCCACTAGTAAAGAAGTACCATATCAAAATAGGAAGTGCTTTGCATTTTTGCCACCAGTATGAAGTATAATCTTGTAGCTCTACTGCTGTAACTAGTTATCTAAATAAAAACGGTAATGGCTGTACAAGTATTTTGATGAGTAACACAAATGCAGTCAGAGGTCATTTCAAACAGAGCTCAGGAATAATTCCTTTATTTTGTTCGCTGTCTTCAATCTTTCTGTAAACTAGCCTGAAGAAAACAGCTTCTGGCAGAGGACTTAGAAGACATCTCCGTAGATAAGAACTGTATTTTTAAACCACCTGGAAGAAGAGCTCTCAACTCTGCCACAAACTCAATTTGCAGCACTGCACTTGAAAATACATGGCAATTTTATGTACCCAGCAGAGACATAGATGAAGCAAATGACAGCTGAAATCGTCAAAATAACATGTTCAACAACCATCAAAAACCAAAAATACTGTCCAAAAAAAAGGTCTATAGTCATAAAGCATAGTTAAAGTATTGCTGTCAAGTATTTTTTAAATGCAAAAATGGCTCTTAAATTATTTTTCATGATAAAATATGACAGCCAGATTTGGCTATTTTTTAATATCTATAGGTATT